GCCGCTAAAAGTTACATAGAGCACCTTTAAACTTCTAAAACCTTTTTTTTATTTTCTACTTTTTTTAAAATACTTTTTTCACTTCAGCAATAATCTGACAAGTGTTTTCTTTAAAAATAAGTCTGTGCTTCAAAGCATTCAAGATGTACGACAGTTTAAGGGCCAGATTTACTAACAGCTCGCTCCAGTGCAATCTCCTCCTCTGGCGTTAAAAAAACTAGTCAGGATTTACTAAAGACATGCATTGAAAAATTAGCGACGAAAGTCTCCCTAAGTCAGTAACTTCACCAAGACATAATGACAATTATAACAGAAATATGAAAGCGAAAGTGAAGTTTAGCTTTTTTTTATATATATATATATAAGCACTTAGATCAGGACCCATAAGCCCTGGGCTGGTATCACTGAAGGAAATTATCTCAGTTCATCGTTCATTGCTCTTTCATATCTCAGCCTTTTGAAACTCTCATCATCCGCTTATGGCAATAATAAGCACTGATCTGGAAACAGTTCGCTCTGCAGACTCTGCTCTTCCTCATTAGAATAATCCGGGGAGTCTTAGCCGCCCTGGATCAGTCATTATCTTACAGCCCTGTTCGTAACGTCTATCATTTCCCTGGCTCCTATTTAGTTTGTTAAACGCATGCCATAGATCCATCAAAGGCCCGTTAATGACTTTCTAAACCTGACAGGTCCATGTAAGGTTTTAATCATCTCCAGAGGGGGAAACTGCTTTAAATGACCGCCCGCAGATGGTCCATCTTAGTTTCGCACATCATTTGCTTCCTGCCACGGTCACAGGCACAACATTTTAATGAGCTTTCCACGTGCAATGATTCTTCTGTCAGATTCATCCATCATTCGCTGGGCAGGGGGCGGGCCAGAGGTGGAGTGGGCGTGGCCTGTTGGGCTGGAGGGGGAGGAGTTACGTGATTGGACTCTACTGTAGGTGTGTTGGAGGTCATGTTTTGACTGTGTGTGTGTGTGTGTGTGTGTGTGTGTGTGTGTGTGTGTGTGTGTGTGTGTGTGTGTGTGTGTGTGTGTGTGTGTGTGTGTGTGTGTGTGTGTGTGTGTGTGTGTGTGTGTAAAAAGCATATTTCTCCATTTGACAGCCCTTTAAAAGTATAGCCATGGTAAGTAGACATGTCATTTTTTGCAGCCAACAGATCAAATTATATATTATATTGATAACACTTTAAAATAAGGTTCCATTAGTTAACTGACAATGAAAAATACTTTTAAAGCATTTATTAATCTTTATTAATTGTTAATGGAGATTACATGAACTAACAATGAACAGTTGTCATGTTTATTATTTTTAATAAATTACCAAATATTAATAAAATACTGTAATAAATTATTTAAAAATATTCAATTGTATGTAGATGCTGATATTTATGGTCAAAAAGAACAGGCTACTTAAATAAAAAATATAAATATCAGTTGTAACTCTATGTCTGCCAATAATGTCTTAGAAAGATGATATTTAAATGCTTAGTTTTATGATCAAAGCTATATAGTTTTAAAACATATAAATCCAATGCAATACAATGATGATTGACAGATGAACAAATAAACCTTCCTTAAAAGCCTGATGATCATATTTGATGATCACTTCACATTTTAACATGATTTGTCTCAAATAATTAATTTAAAAAAAACTCAACCTAGTTTAAACCGCAAATGACATGATGGTTAGTGTATTGCATTTTTATTTTAACAGACGAAGGTCCCTAGAGTTACTTTTCCTCACAAACGCGTCTCACCCCATGCCTTTTCTCTTTTACTTTCAGCCTCGCATCAGAAGCCCAGTTGGTGGCTCTCAAATTGTGCAAAAATGACTGTAAGTAACTAGGCTACTTTTCTCCTCTCAGACGTGTGTAGCGCTTGTCTCGGCCGAGCGCGGGAGAAAGTGCAGCTGCGAGCTGAATGCTAATGACGTTTCCCGGCTCGTGACTCATCGACTGCGGAGTGCTGTAATGACAGATGAAAACAGCGATGTTTAGCATGCCGAGAAGCTGGCGTTTTTGTGAATGGCGCTCCGTCGGTTCAGAGTCAATGTCTCGTGCGATTCGGCTCCCGACGAGCGCGTGACTCACATATTCAGCTCGAGATGAATGAATGTCGAAGGGAAGAGTGACTCGCACACAACGAGGACGCTAGTTTCATGAATATTGTGCTGCAAAACTTATTGAATGTGAGCATGAGATTCTTTGATTTGAAAGAATTTGCATGCATAAAAACCTTGACAATTTTTTTATGCAGTATGTATGTGCCATTTAGGCTACTGTGTGTTCTGTTTTGAAATATTGAAGATGTGCACTCAGAGCTTTGAGCTTCTTAAAGGTGCAATGTGTAATATTTCTGAGGATCTATTGACAGAAATGCAATATAAGATCCATAACGATGTGTTCAGTGTTGTATAAAGACCTTACTCAATGAACCGTTATGTTTTTATTACCTTAGAATGAATTTATATTTACATAACCGCGGGCACCCCCTTCTATGAAGGTCGCCATATTGTGACGTCATGTTTCTACCGTAGCCGACAGCGAACACACAGCGCTACAGAGCGCGTTTCATTCATACCTTGAAAGAGAAGCCGCAGAAAGCCAGAAGCTAGCCATAGACACCGTGAGTAGTGACTTTTCCCTTGTCAGTGGTGTAAAATATGTAGTTGGATTGTTTCATGTAACTTAGTTCTTCTCCCTCGCTGTGTTATGGCTTTGACATTCAGCTGATTAGTACTATTGACCGTAAAACAGTAACGTTACAGGAGTCACCAACCCGTCGATCGCAGTCGACAAGTCGATCTTGGAAGCATTTTAAGTCGATCGCGAAGAGTTTTCAAAACCAGAGAAAAAAAACAATATTTTTATTCATTATTATTTATTCATTTGTGTGTAGTAAATGGTGTCTAGGGGATGCGGAGGCGCGCAGGCTGTTACAATGACGTCATTTTTGCCGCGCGCACCTTTGCGCTCATGCGGACACGTCGAGTATAATCAATGCTTTAGCCTACGCTTTAACCAGCTCAGCCACAGCCCTATAGCATAACAGCTCATATAAGCCAGCTAAACTTTTACTACCCTGTTAGAAGGTAGATCCTCACCTGACTATGGCTTTGTAAACTTTATCCATGATGTGGTTTATAATGGACTGTGGTACAGAAACTTGGCTTACTCTGGCTATTCTCTGCTGTCTCAGACGACGATATGTTTGTCCCGTTTTAGCCACCGTAGCTTCTTCGAAAGGGAGGGGTGAGCGGTGGGCTGAGCCCTTAGTGTAAACTCGCTACCGAACCGCTAGATGCCGCTAAAATCTACACACTGCACCTTTAAGTCTCGCATAGGCAGAGTTTTGACGTGCATGTGTAGTGCTATGTTTAGTTTAATAGTGCTGTGTTATATTTATCAAAATAAATAAAACTCTCTGCCAAATGCATAAATGTTTAAAAAGTGTGCTTGACTGCATGACACACAGCTGGATATGTGCCCAGTTGTAATGCTCATCTCCATTATTTGATCATCATATGATGAATCACTGCACACACACTACCGTTCAAAAGTTTTGGATCGGTAAGATTTAGGCTATTAATGTTTTTTTTTTAAAAGTCTTCTGCTCCCCATGGTGCTTTTATTTGATATACATATTATGAAATATCACTACAATTTAAAGTGTCCCTATGCTATTTTAAAGGTTCTTAATTTTGTTTTGGAGTCTTCTACAACAGGTTTACATGCATCCAATGTAAAAAACAAAACTTTAATTTTCATAATATAATTTGCAGCATCAGCTCTTTTCTCACAGTGTCTGAAATGGTTCGATCAAGGATTCAGTCTCTAAGCCCCACCTTTCTGTGAGCTTCTTCTGCTCTGATTGGTCAGATGGCCCAGTCTGGTTTGATTGGTCTACTCTGCTCTGATTGGTCAGATGACCCAGTCTGTTGTGATTGGTCTACTCTGCTCTAATTGGTCAGATTACCCAGTCTGTTGTGATTGGTCTACTCTGCTCTGATTGGTCAGATGACCCAGTCTGTTGTGATTTGTCTACTCTGCTCTAATTGGTCAGATGACCCAGTCTGTTGTGATTGGTCTACTCTGCTCTAATTGGTCAGATGACCCAGTCTGTTGTGATTTGTCTACTCTGCTCTAATTGGTCAGATGACCCAGTCTGTTGTGATTGGTCTACTCTGCTCTGATTGGTCAGACGGCTCAGTCTGTTGTGATTGGTCTATTCTGCTCTGATTGGTCAGACGGCTCAGTCTGTTGTGATTGGTCTATTCTGCTCTGATTGGTCAGACGGCTCAGTCTGTTGTGATTGGTCTATTCTGCTCTGATTGGTCAGACGGCTCAGTCTGTTGTGATTGGTCTACTCTGGTCTGATTGGTCATAGACTCAGTCTGTTGTGATTGGTCTACTCTGCTCTGATTGGTCAGATGGCTCAGTCTGTTATGATTGGTCTACACTGCTCTAATTGGTCAGATGACCCAGTCTGTTGTGATTGGTCTACTCTGCTCTAATTGGTCAGATGGCTCAGTCTGTTGTGATTGGTCTACTCTGGTCTGATTGGTCAGACGGCTCAGTCTTTTATGATTGGTCTACTCTGCTCTGATTGGTCAGATGGCTCACTCTGTTGTGATTGGTCTACTCTGGTCTGATTGGTCAGACGGCTCAGTCTGTTGTGATTGGTCTACTCTGGTCTGATTGGTCAGATGGCTCAGTCTGTTGTGATTGGTCTACTCTATTCTGATTGGTTAGATGGCCCAGTCTGTTGTGATTGGTCTACTCTGCTCTGACTGGTTAGATGGCCCAGTCTGTTATGATTGGTCGATCACTTAATGCGTGTGTCGGAAACAAAATGACCATGACCATATCTGGATTTCAGCTCCACTTGATACACAGTGATACGAATAGTAACAATGCATTTTACTCTCAGCATGTTCCCATAACAAACAAATCACAAACTTCACATGTGTGTTTGCACTCTCTGTTCTCTAGGGGTCGCCCTCCAGGGCCGCAGTCTCTCTTCATCTGGGAGCATGTTCTAGGACGGACCCTGAACAGCAACCATGAAAAGCTTAGGGGCCAACCGTAGCCGACATCTGTCAGACACCTGTGACCCCACCGCGGGCCCCCAGGAGCCCTTGTGTCCCTTGGCCCCGGACCCCCACGCTGCCTTCTTCCTAAGCCCCACCGTCAACCATTATGGCACTCTGGATCCTCACCTCCATCATTTTCCCGTTTCCCCCCCGACGACCCTGCAGTCGGACTGCCTGTTGCCTCTAAACAACCAGCTGACCAACAGCAGTACTTTCCCACGCCTGCACTACAGCAACCAGCCGGAGCAGAGCGACTACACGCAGGTACTTCTATTTTTTACCTATGTTCTTATTTCTGTCAGGACCACTATCGTCAAATACGATTGACAATTAGCATACAGTTTGGGTTGGCGGTGTGGTTCTGTTCTGGACAAGATCTCCCTGCGCATCCATGCAGCCTAGCATGCATAAGAGCAGCAATAATCCCCCCTAGGGTTAACAGAACAGAACAGAACCAACATGAATGTATGCAGATATCATTAATTCAAGATTTTAAAATTTTACAACATAATTCAAGAATTTATTCTGATTCGAGGGGAATCAGAATGCCAAATCCTGACTGACGAGAGGAGGAGCTGGGGATGGAGGAGGGTAACAGCTCCTGAGAAACGCGATCGCTGCTGATAATACTGAAGGAGCTTATATATGTATACAGTGATAGGCGTCGTATTCCTATAGGTCGACGTGGATCAGCTGAGAGTCACTGATGTGAGCTTCACTAACGTGACCTGCCAGAACTGACGCTACGCTTAATTATTGGTTAAATAGGGGTTGTATACATTAGATAATTTTGTTTGTGTATTTGTTTTTAGTATTATCATTATAGGATATTACATGTTTTTTTTTTGTTAATATATTATAGGCCAGGGTATATAATGCTTTAGTGAAAGTTTTTGTTTTATTAATGTAGTAAGGTAGATAGATTGATGTTGTCTGTGTGCGAGGATTGAATGTGGTTGCTGCTATTGTAACAAATCTAATTTCCCGAGAAGGATTAATAAAGTATCTATCTCTTTACTAGCATGAGCATTGTGTTGCAAAACATTCTTCAAAAATGATCTTGCTTTAAGGACTGTTCATACTGGATGTGATTTGCAGCAATACAGTAATTAGAAGTAGGAATGTGCAAAACTACAGTACATATTTTTAAGACCGACTAGTCAGTGGTCAATTCACTAATTGGTTTAACGGAAGCACTGTATAATAAGCCTGGCTTTATTTTCATCGGATCCCAATCAAACACATACAGTATGTGTGTTTTTGTATATTATATAAAAAACTTTAATATGTAAAATACTGATATAGAAGTTTGGGGTTGGTGAGAATGTTTTTGTTTATAAAAGACGTCTCTGCATTTATTTGATGAAAAATACAGTACATTTTTGAAATATTATTACAATTTCAAATAACTGTTTTCTATTTTAATATATTGTAAAAAAAAATATATTTTTTGAAAAATTCCTGTGATCAAAGCTGAATTTTCAGCATCATTACTCCAGTCTTCAGTGTCACATGATCATTCAGAAATCACTCTAATATGATGATTTGCTGCTCAAGAAACATTTATGATTATTATCAATGCTGAAAACTGTGATGCATTTTGTTCAGGATTCTTTGATGAATAAAAAGTTTAAAAGAACAGAATTAATTTGAAATATAAATCTGTTGTAACATTATAAATGTCTTTCTTTACTGTCACTTTTGATCAGTTTATCCTTGCTGAATAAAAGTGTTAATAAAAAAAAAGCATACTGACCCAAACTTTCGATCGGTTGCATATCAATTTATTAAATATTATAAGAAATACATTTTCTTGATACAATAACATGCATTTTTTAAATGCATGCAACACACAACAAATTGTAAGATTGAATACGTTTAATTCATGCATTAATAATCATTCATCTTGTCCATAATTTTATGCATTATTATTGCAGTTTAAATGCAAAGATTTTCTTTGTGTTTGTTTATAGCAGGCACGGAAACTAGTTTCATGTCAAACTAAAAATGCAATCAAATTTTTATTGATGTGTATGACCAATAATACAGCCAGTTGACAATTGCGATAATATCCCCATTACCGGCTTTTCACAAATGTTTTGCGAAGGTCAAAATAGATATCTCGTTTTCAATTTACAATAATTGTAGTATTGTGCATGTGACATATTTAATACAGGTTAAATGGTCCTGAAAAAAATTGTCATACCTGTGCTCCTCGCAGTCCAAAATGAGCACATTGGAAATAAATGGGAGACGAATTTCATCTAGTGAAATCTTTTGGTACTGCAGCCAAACGAAATCTTACTGAAAGCTCATTTTTTAAGATATCAGGCTCAAATTTTTAACACAACTTGTTTAGATTTATGACTTTGATTTTCTCACAGTTTTGGAGTAAAACATGTTTTTGCAAATATATATTTCATAAAATCGAAAATAGTATTTTTTTAAAATTTTTCATATAATAAGCGTAAAATTCTGTAACTTTTTTAGGTTAACTTTTCAAAACTATTTTAACTTCAGCAATAATCTGCCAAGTGTCATCTTTAAAAGGAGATTAAACTTAAGTCTGTGCTCTAAAGCATTCAAGATTTATGACAGTTTAAGTTGAAAATGAAATTTTCATGTCTATGCTCAAAAAGTGAATAAATGGATTATAAATACAGCGTAAATATAATGAAGTACCATAAAATCCCCTAAAAAATACAAAATATGAAATAAAAAACATTATCGAACTAAAATATAGTACATTCATTTCATTGAAATAAAAAAACCCCGGTCCCTTTTGACCGGCACGCGAAGTGCACCAAAGGGTTAATTAGGATTGAAGCTAAACTGAGTTTTGCATCCCTGGTCTAGTACATCTGCATAATTTGATGATGATGTGGTTCGTCTCCTCAGGGTTGTATGGCTCAGACAGGCAGTCGCTCTGGCACCCTCACGTCCTCCATGTCCATGGGTTTGGGCTTGGGACTGGGCGCCCCGGCCATGATCAGCAGCGGCACGGCCACCATCTCCTCCGCGGCCGCCGCCAAGATGAACCGGCTCCCGGCAAACCTTCTGGACCAGCTGGAGCGCCACCTGCCGCTACAGCGTGACGGGTTTAGCACGTTACAGTTCCACCGGCGCAGCCGCGGCCAAAAGCCGCGCAGCGAGAGTCCCAGCCGCATCCGAAACCTGGTCCAATCCGTCCAGAAACTCTTCGCCAAGTCGCAATCCCTGGAGGGATCGGCGGTTAAAGGGAGCATAACCGCTGGCGACACGGCTAAAGCGACCCGGCGAAGCAAAAGCAAAGACCGCGCTAAGACAGAAGGCACCAAACGGCGTCCGCGGCCCAATCTCTCAGGCTTCTGGAGCTCAGATGATGGTTTAGAGGACGATCCACCGACTCAACCCGCTGCCGGGCCGCTAGCAGTGGCGTATCGAAACCCTCTGAGCATGATGACTCTGGGAAGAGCCGTGTCGGACAGTCAAGCGCCACCCAGACTGAATCCGCAGGGCTACAACACCATCGCTGCACACACTCTCAAATCCTCCAAGAGCAGTGGCGACCTCAAGCCTCAGGTCAGCCTGGCCGCCGGGGGCCAAACGGGGGACAGCGTGCTGGTTAAGAGAGGCTCCTGGTCAACGCTGACCCTCAGTCAGGCCCGACAGGTGCTTCAGAAGGGCTCCGCAACCATCAACCAGACCCTGCTCAAGTCCAAGTCCTGCCACGGACAGGAGATGATGACCTGCAACTTCCTACAGGTGACATGCAGAAACGAAAGAAAGACAGTTAAAGGCTGGCTCTAGTCTTCTAAACTTATCTTTGATCACCAAAAGGACATATTTAAAAGTTTTTTCCTCGAAAAAAATAATATTAATGCCTTAAAATAGCTTGAATGTAACTCTACACCCTTGCCTCATTTAGTGTACGCGGTTCTATGAATATGCAAATGAGCCCCGCCTCCACTCACTCACTCAGCTCAGAGATCCACTCGTTGACGATCACACGTTGATCTGATTGGTTACAAGGTAGTTTGTGACGTCAGAAACACCAGCGATTTCAAACCGAGTTTTTGAGACTGTCTTTGGTTCACTGCAGTTTTAAGGAGAAAATACTCAGCAATGCTGTTGACTTATGAATTTACACATGGTTTGTCTTAATTTTAAACACCACATACTGTAGACATATAAACACATTAAAAGCTCGATTTTCACCACGGGAATAGTTTAAGGAATAGTACACCCCAAAATGTGAATTCCCTCATCGTTTACTCATTCCAAACCCATAAGACCTTTGTCGTCAAGTAAGTATGGTTCTGTTTACCATATTTGAGTCCTCTATGTACATTCACTGATCAATGTTGATATGTGAATAACAGCCTAAATTAAATCTGTTAATTCAATCATATAAAGTGATTGTTTCTCTTCAGAACACTCGGATTGAACTGCTCGATTCATATGTATTAGTTTTATGATCTCTTTTGAAGCGTCAGAGTTTTGGGTGAACAGAGTTTTAATGGAGGCTCAGAAATCTCTCAGAATTAATTAAAAATATCTTTATTTGTGTTCAGAAGATGAACGAATGTCTTATGGGTTTGGAACGAAATGACAGAATTTTCATTTTTGGGTGAACTAACTCTTTAAAGTGCACGAATGATAGAGAAATAGAAATATGGATTTCTTGATATTAGAGGCAAATGTTAGTAGGATAAGACATACGAGATTTCATAATAGGGTGTGTTTGAATTATAACATTGATTATAATGCCAGATAAGCACTTTATTTCATTTTTTATTATACTTATTAATTTTTTAATTGTTTCTAAATGATATAATTATTATTGTTACCTATTACTAAATCTAAGTTCTATATTAAATAATAATAATAAATATTATTATATGTATAATAAATATTATATCTATATATAATACATATGTGTTAAAAATATATGATTAATTTAAACAACATTTTTTTAAATGTTAACGGTATATATATACTTAAAAATATTTGCATAATAATAAATACATGTAAAATAGTAAATCAATAAAAAATATATTTGAACAATATTTTGTGGTCGTTATGAAAACAGAACAATTATGTGTGTGATAAGTGCAATAATAATAAATAATAAATATTTTAATAAAAATAATACATATTTATTAGAATATATATATATATATATAATGTTTTAACTAGTATTAGAATTGATATATAACAATAATATTTGAAAAATAATTGAACATGAATGGCATTTCAAGTATTATGTTGAAAAAACATAATTTTTTTCTTATTTTATGCATAAAATATAATACCTATTTGTAAAAATATATCATTAATATTTGAGCAGAGTTTTAAATATTTACAAATATTTGTATGATAATCAATATTCAAAAGTGCGATAATAATACTAAATACAAATATTTCTATACGTAATAATAAGTACAAATATTTGTTACAAATATGTATTCATATTTGTATATTATATTAATATGTATATTAATATGTATTAATACATTTACTAAAAAGGTCAATTTATTTTAATATTGTATATATATATAGAGAGAGAGATTTGAACAATAATTTGTTGTCATTCTGAATGACATTTCAACAGAAAACCAAAACAGAAAACCAACATTAATGAAAAGAACTTGTCACATGTATTTTACGCTTTATTTCAAAAAGTTTTAGTTGAGATCTTTGACCAGATGCATTGTGTGTATTGTAACAGTAAGTGTTTTGGCAGGTGCCTGGAGGTGAGTGGAGCGGGACGCTGGGCAAGGCAGGGGCCGCGGGAGAGATCCCGTGCAGGCGCATGCGCAGCGGCAGTTACGTTAAAGCCATGGGAGACGTGGAGGACAGCGAGGACTCAGACGGACCCCCTTCACCCAAACCCTCGCCCAAGACCGCAGCTCGACGACAGAGTTACCTGAAGGCCACCCAGCAGTCCCTCAGCGAACAGCAGCCGCCGCTACCGCCCCGCAAGTGAGTCCAGCATCAAACACAACATCTCACACTCAATGCAGGTAAAGACAAATCCAGACACACGCACATATGTGACCCTGGACCACAAAACCAGTCACATGTCACACAGGTATATTTGTGGCAATAGCCAACAATACTTTGTATGGGTCAAAATTATCGATTTTTCAGTAGGATATTAAGAAAAGATAATGTTCCATAAAGATATTTTGTAAATTTCCTACCATAAATATATATATAAAAATATATTTTTGTGAGTGGATGCAGCAAAAAAATATGTATAAATCTCAATTTCAAAAAAATTACCCTTTTGACTGGTTTTGTGGTCCAGGGTCACATATTACAATCAAAGCCCATACTGCACGTAAAAAAAGGCCCATCACAATCACATAAGGAGCATTATTTAGTGCCTCATCTTAATCAAATGTCCTAAATTGAGCATTTGATCATTGATGCTATCAGGAACATATTCTCTGTGACCAGCAGATGGCAGCGTGTTGATTAGTATTGACGGTATAAAGCTTCATATCTGAAGTGTTCAACCATAGGATGATTCCAAATGACTGGTTATTCTCATTAAACAAGACTCACTTTATCCACGGTGAAGAAAAACTACAAAGGACATCTCTTTAATATCTCAATTGTTTCTCCTAGAATAGATGGTGAGATTAAATGGAGACTTTTGCTGAAAGTCTTCCTGCTTCTCATGTGGTTCTTTTTGAAGTAATAACTGCAAAGAGTAAAGATGCTTTCATACAAACTTTCATTAAAAATGCCACATGCACGTTGCATAATGCTTACTGTGAACATAATGCATACTATAAGTATAGTAATATAATATACACAAGTATACACATACATTATGCTTGTATTCAATTTCAAACGTAAACACAATGCAGTGGTTCGCAACCAGGGCCTCAGCAAACTTACACATAATTTAAAATAAACTAAAACTACTAGAATATATAAGAAAGGTAATTTATGTAGAAATTTTAAGTAAAATATATTTTAAAATATTTATCCTTAATTCTTATCCAGTAAATCACGGACGACTGGAAAAGTCATGCAAATGAATTTGTTAATAAAAGTTAGAGCCCTAAAGAACATTTGGGTCTTAATTATTCAGGAAACTTGATTTCCCCCCTATTTACATAGATTAAAATCGATCATTTCATAAAAAAGGAAAAGAGTAGTTTTAGACTTTGGACTGGATCGTTTATGGTTAAATCTTACTTGGAAAAAAAATCCCTGTGAATTGCTCAGCAAAAGATGCCGTTTCTATTTACTGTATCGCATACTAGCGTTTGTCATGCAATAATCAGTTGAGCCAGTGTTGATGAACCTTAGAAACAGACATCAGTCTTCCATGTAACGGCCCACCCTTCCTATACACTCACTAGCAGACAGAGTCCCTGTCGGTTCGGAGTGGTTTGGTCTCCTCTGCAGAGCGCCACATCAGTGCCGCACCTGCACAGGTTAGTGTTTAAGCCCCGCCTCTTCCTAATCACGTGACACATTCTCACTCTATACGCTAAAAACACGTTCCCCACGAAACACCCTGATGCACGACCTGATCACGTGACACATTCTCAATCTATACGCTAAAAACACGTTCCCCTCGAAACACCCCGATGCACGACCTGATCACGTGACACATTCTCACTCTATACGCTAAAAACACGTTCCCCACGAAACACCCTGATGCACGACCTGATCACGTGACACATTCTCAATCTATACGCTAAAAACACGTTCCCCTCGAAACACCCCGATGCACGACCTGATCACGTGACACATTCTCACTCTATACGCTAAAAACACGTTCCCCTCGAAACACCCCGATGCACGACCTGATCACGTGACACATTCTCACTCTATACGCTAAAAACACGTTCCCCTCGAAACACCCCGATGTACGACCTGATCACGTGACACATTCTCACTCTATACGCTAAAAACACGTTCCCCTCGAAACACCCCGATGCACGACCTGATCACGTAACACATTCTCACTCTATACGCTAAAAACACGTTCCCCTCGAAACACCCCGATGCACGACCTGATCACGTGACACATTCTCACTCTATACGCTAAAAACACGTTCCCCTCGAAACACCCCGATGCACGACCTGATCACGTAACACATTCTCACTCTATACGCTAAAAACACGTTCCCCACGAAACACCCCGATGTACGACCTGATCACGTGACACATTCTCACTCTATACGCTAAAAACACGTTCCCACGAAACACCCCGATGCACGACCTGATCACGTGACACATTCTCACTCTATACGCTAAAAACACGTTCCCCACGAAACACCCCGATGCACGACCTGATCACGTGACACATTCTCACTCTATACGCTAAAAACACGTTCCCCTCGAAACACCCCGATGCACGACCTGATCACGTGACACATTCTCAATCTATACGCTAAAAACACGTTCCCCTCGAAACACCCCGATGCACGACCTGATCACGTGACACATTCTCACTCTATACGCTAAAAACACGTTCCCCTCGAAACACCCCGATGCACGACCTGATCACGTGACACATTCTCTCTATACGCTAAAAACACGTTCCCCTCGAAACACCCCGATGCACGACCTGATCACGTGACACATTCTCACTCTATACGCTAAAAACACGTTCCCCTCGAAACACCCCGATGTACGACCTGATCACGTGACACATTCTCACTCTATACGCTAAAAACACGTTCCCCTCGAAACACCCCGATGCACGACCTGATCACGTGACACATTCCCACTCTATACGCTAAAAACACGTTCCCCACGAAACACCCCGATGCACGACCTGATCACGTGACACATTCTCACTCTATACGCTAAAAACACGTTCCCACGAAACACCCCGATGCACGACCTGATCACGTGACACATTCTCACTCTATACGCTAAAAACACGTTCCCCTCGAAACACCCCGATGCACGACCTGATCACGTGACACATTCCCACTCTATACGCTAAAAACACGTTCCCCACGAAACACCCCGATGCACGACCTGATCACGTGACACATTCTCACTCTATACGCTAAAAACACGTTCCCCTCGAAACACCCCGATGCACGACCTGATCACGTGACACATTCACTCTATATGCTAAAAACACGTTCCCCACGAAACACCCCGATGCACGACCTGATCACGTGACACATTCACTCTATACGCTAAAAACACGTTCCCCACGAAACACCCCGATGCACGACCTGATCACGTGACACATTCTCACTCTATACGCTAAAAACACGTTCCCCACGAAACACCCCGATGCACGACCTGATCACGTGACACATTCTCACTCTATACGCTAAAAACACGTTCCCACGAAACACCCCGATGCACGACCTGATCACGTGACACATTCTCACTCTATACGCTAAAAACACGTTCCCACGAAACACCCCGATGCACGACCTGATCACGTGACACATCTCACTCTATACGCTAAAAACACGTTCCCCACGAAACACCCCGATGCACGACCTGATCACGTGACACATCTCACTCTATACGCTAAAAACACGTTCCCCACGAAACACCCCGATGCACGACCTGATCACGTGACACATTCTCACTCTATACGCTAAAAACACGTTCCCACGAAACACCCCGATGCACGACCTGATCACGTGACACATTCTCACTCTATACGCTAAAAACGCGTTCCCACGAAACACCCCGATGCACGACCTGATCACGTGACACATTCTCAATCTATACGCTAAAAACACGTTACCCTCGAAACACCCCGATGCACGACCTGATCACGTGACACATTCTCACTCTATACGCTAAAAACACGTTCCCCTCGAAACACCCCGATGCACGACCTGATCACGTGACACATTCTCACTCTATACGCTAAAAACACGTTCCCCACGAAACACCCCGATGCACGACCTGATCACGTGACACATTCTCACTCTATACGCTAAAAACACGTTCCCCACGAAACACCCCGATGCACGACCTGATCACGTGACACATTCCCACTCTATACGCTAAAAACACGTTCCCCACGAAACACCCCGATGCACGACCTGATCACGTGACACATTCCCACTCTATACGCTAAAAACACGTTCCCCACGAAACACCCCGATGCACGACCTGATCACGTGACACATCTCACTCTATACGCTAAAAACACGTTCCCCACGAAACACCCCGATGCACGACCTGATCACGTGACACATCTCACTCTATACGCTAAAAACACGTTCCCCACGAAACACCCCGATGCACGACCTGATCACGTGACACATTCTCACTCTATACGCTAAAAACACGTTCCCCACGAAACACCCCGATGCACGACCTGATCACGTGACACATTCTCACTCTATACGCTAAAAACACGTTCCCACGAAACACCCCGATGCACGACCTGATCACGTGACACATTCCCACTCTATACGCTAAAAACACGTTCCCCACGAAACACCCCGATGCACGACCTGATCACGTGACACATTCCCACTCTATACGCTAAAAACACGTTCCCCACGAAACACCCCGATGCACGACCTGATCACGTGACACATCTCACTCTATACGCTAAAAACACGTTCCCCACGAAACACCCCGATGCACGACCTGATCACGTGACACATTCTCACTCTATACGCTAAAAACACGTTCCCACGAAACACCCCGATGCACGACCTGATCACGTGACACATTCTCACTCTATACGCTAAAAACACGTTCCCACGAAACACCCCGATGCACGACCTGATCACGTGACACATTCTCACTCTATACGCTAAAAACACGTTACCCACGAAACACCCCGATGCACGACCTGATCACGTGACACATTCTCACTCTATACGCTAAAAACACGTTCCCACGAAACACCCCGATGCACGACCTGATCACGTGACACATTCTCACTCTATATGCTAAAAACACGTTCCCCTCGAAACACCCCGATGCACGACCTGATCACGTGACACATTCTCACTCTATACGCTAAAAACACGTTCCCCACGAAACACCCCGATGCACGACCTGATCACGTGACACATTCTCACTCTATACGCTAAAAACACGTTCCCACAAAACACCCCGATGCACGACCTGATCACGTGACACATTCTCACTCTATACGCTAAAAACACGTTCCCTTCGAAACACCCCGATGCACGACCTGATCACGTGACACATTCTCACTCTATACGCTAAAAACACGTTCCCCACGAAACACCCCGATGCACGACCTGATCACGTGACACATTCTCACTCTATACGCTAAAAACACGTTCCCCTCGAAACACCCCGATGCACGACCTGATCACGTGACACATTCTCTCTATACGCTAAAAACACGTTCCCCTCGAAACACCCCGATGCACGACCTGATCACGTGACACATTCTCACTCTATACGCTAAAAACACGTTCCCCACGAAACACCCCGATGCACGACCTGATCACGTGACACATTCTCACTCTATACGCTAAAAACACGTTCCCCTCGAAACACCCCGATGCACGACCTGATCACGTGACACATTCTCTCTATACGCTAAAAACACGTTCCCCTCGAAACACCCCGATGCACGACCTGATCACGTGACACATTCTCACTCTATACGCTAAAAACACGTTCCCCACGAAACACCCCGATGCACGACCTGATCACGTGACACATTCTCACTCTATACGCTAAAAACACGTTCCCCTCGAAACACCCCGATGCACGACCTGATCACGTGACACATTCTCTCTATACGCTAAAAACACGTTCCCCTCGAAACACCCCGATGCACGACCTGATCACGTGACACATTCTCACGCTATACGCTAAAAACACGTTCCCCACGAAACACCCCGATGTACGACGTCCAGCTCCACTAGAATCCTGGCGGAATCCTCACCAAACTTCCTTTATTTTTATTTTTTTATTTAGTTCCTAACGTCCTGCACCTGGCTCTCTCTCACCTATGCTAAAAAATAAAGTCACGTTATTGGCTGAGTGGCTAAAGGGAAGGTTTCCTGTTGAATGCATTGTGATCGTGCACTGATGCTCTTGTGTTTGCGTTCCTCTCAGCTGTATGCCGCCTCTATGCGAGGTCTCCACCAATCGCAGCCTGGATAACCTGGACTGTTTGATGGCATCAGGGGACGCGGGTCTGCAGAACTGGGACACTGATGGGGGGTTCGGTCAGCGCTGCTCCACGCTGGGACGAGGGTCTACCATGAGACAGGTCACAGACATCCTTTCATTTATTTCAAATTATTAATGCATCATTGTTATTATTGCTAAGTGCATTGTAGTTATTAATACTTAGTTTAATGCACAATTAACTGGTGACCATTATCATAAATTAAACAGAACTTAAATTGAAGGAGGGAGCCAGCCCATACCTAGTGACCTGCAACACCCTAGCAACCATATAGCAACCCCCAGAACCCCCTAGCAGTCAAGTCACCTTCATTTATATAGCGCTTATAACCATATTGATTGTTTCAAAGCAGCTTTACAGTGATAATAGGAAATTAAAGTAACCGAGATTGTTTTGGCTTTACAGCAGCTCTAGAATAAAGTTATTGTCCAGCTTAAGTTAGTTTTGATTGATTCACTTCCGTCACAACAATCATTAGTTATTAACTTTAGGCCATGCGATCCGGCCCGCTCACTCGCACAAAACAGTGCCTGGTGGCTCGAGAACGCAAACCATGAAATAGGTTCCAAGGTACAAGCCTTGAAAAATTTATAATACAGAATTTTTTTATTGCTTCCGTGTAGCCACGTGAACCAGAATTATCCCGACAACGTTTATCTGTACAGAGGTGAAGGGAATGGAAGGAGGCCTACACAGGGGAGAGACTAGTTGACACTTCAGGACTGCGTTGTCGTCATGTCCAGGCTCAGGTCCTTCATCAGATCCGGATAAGGCCTGGGTCCGACGGACTGCGGTAAACCTCGGGATAAACAGAGAGACTAATATTAGCGTAGACGCCATTCTTCTTATGATGAAACAAGTACATCAGGATTTATGGGAAGTGTTCCCGGTTCCGGCTGACCTAATCTATGCAGCCTAACATTGAATTATAGAATTATAGAAGTAACCTTATAACCTAGTAACCATATAACAATCCACAGAACATCATAGCAAACATATAGCAGCAGCACGGCAACCCCCAGGTCAGAACGCCCTAATAACTACATTCCAACTCCCTGAACAAACTTGAAACCACATAGCAACACCCTAGTAACCCCTATAACACCCTAATGACCACATGGTAACAACATAGTAACCCCCAGAACCCCCTAGTAACCAAATAGAAAACTACAGAACAGCAAACATACCATGGAACCATATCACTCCCAGAACATTCTTACAGTAGCAACCCATATAACACCCTAGTAACCACATGGTAATACCATAGCAACCCCCATAACATTCTAGTAACCACATACAGTAGCAAAACCACAGCAACCCCCAGAACACAATAGAAACCACATAAAAAAAAAAATCACCATAGCAACCCCCAGAACATCCTAGTAACTACAAAGCAACCCCCTATACAAAAAAGCAATCCCTATAACACCCTGTTAACTACATGGCAACACCATAGCAACCCCTAGAACATTCTAGTAACCACCTACAGTGGCAACCCCTAGAACACCCTAGCAACAATAACAGCCTAGTAACCACATAGCAACCAAAACACCCTAACAACCAAGCATCTTATCAGAGAGTTTTGCTCACACTTTCTTCAGAAGATGTAAAAGTCTATTTCTGTTTAGTCTTGTAAATCACACTGTTATGTGTTCCACATTGCAGAGCAAACGCTGAAATGTTTCAGAGAGGTTTTGCTGTTCACTCGACCTCAGGAACAGAGTGTTCCTGATTAAAAATGCTGTAAGACATCCTAAAGCTAGTTTAAGGAGACGTGGAGAGTGGGAAATCAGTTTGAGGGCATATTATCGGGAGGAGATACTTGGGTGTTCGCCTACATTCCCTCTCAATATGCTGATGAAGACATCAAGACTAGCGAAGCCAGTCGAGGGTCTGAAATGTTGATGATTTCTAAAGAGGAAAGAGAATTGATTTTTTTTGAAGATCTACTTTGCCTACTGGGATTACTGTGAAGACTGATGGATGTTTCATGGAGAAGTTGTTTCTGAGATTGGAAGAACGCTGTCGGAGAGTAATTGCGTGAATCAAAGGGAAAGAAGTCAAGAAAAAAATTCCTAGGAATTATCTTGTGATTTCTTTTTTTTAATTCAATGAGCTTTTTCACTTTAATTGCTGCAGACAATATGTTTGTCTATTTGTTTGCCTTTAATTGTCAGGTTTATTCTTGACAAACACACACAAATCTGTTGTGTCCCTGTGGAAAGTGTCACCTGGACGAACAAGCACAAACTTTCTCTTTACTCTTCACCATCTAAACGCTCATTCAGGCTTTTAGCTTTTCCTCCGAGAGAGATTGAAACGTGATTGTGTTTTGGTTGCAGGATAGTTTGGAAAGACTGAAAGGTCATTTGAATCACAGAAGGACTCATTGACTCTTTCTTCCTGATGGATTTGGAGAAAAAAAGAGAGGACTATTATATTTCAGGTTTAAGATATCCTACACTGGCAGCTTGAAAAAGCAAATCCCTTTGTAAATCATTTTTATGTCCTGCTTAAGTTACGGAAGGCATATTATATTATATAACAAATTACAAATATATACATTATAAATATTTAAATTATAATTATTTTATTGAAATATTTTTTTAATTAAAAAAAGTATATGAATAAAAAAAAAACAATAGACAGATACAAAACATTGTAAATATATATTTTTTTTAAACTTTCCCAGTTTTATGGGAATTTTCTAAATGAGAATTTTTTGGTGAAAAATGGTCTAAATTACAAGCATTTTATAAAATGCACCTGTGAAAGGAATAAATGTAAGGATTTTTCTCATTTTATGCCACATTTGTTGCATAGACCTAATGGAAACCAGTCAAGATTCACTAAAGCATGGAAATCTGCTGTTGGATGTTATGAACCCAGTATGGGTCATATTTGTGTGTTGTGTGTTTTTCTTTCTGTTTGGTTTGCAGGATGGAGTTAAGAGTGAGTGACGTCATCATTATTGACTAATGGTGTGTTCACACCGAACGCGAATAGAGCGGAAAATACGCGTCTATCGCGTTTAGTTAGACGCTTGAACATTCGCTCGAGTTCAAATTTTTCAACTTGCGCGGAAGACATTCGCGGCAAATGCGTCGCCCAATTCGCGTCAATCGCAACGCCCGGCGCGAATGATGCGTCTATTCGCGTCTTTGCATTGACTTTGTATGTAATCCACTCGCGCAAATAATTAAATTCGCGTTCGGTGTGAACACCCCATAAGGAGTTACACCTGTTTTGGAGCTGATGCCGGCAATTAAAAGCAGTTCCCTTCAGCTGTGACGAGGGGCGCTCTCCCATCCTCGTGCCGTTTGTGTCTTGGATACCATTGTTTGTTTGCTTTCCGTCTCATTTAATTATTCTTACTTTAATAAATGTTATTCTTTTGAGCAATATCCAACGTGTTGTCTCCTTCTTTGTCGCGGCTTGCGAGCCGGCCGTGACATGGATTTAGAGCCGTTTCCTCTTCATGTCCGCTCGGCAATGCGGCAGTCCACCCTAAAGTGGCGTCCCCATCTCTCCCCATGCAAGGCACGCATCCTTCACGCGGGTCAATTCAACCTTCATGTGTCTTTTCAGGTGGAGCAGGGGTACGGGGGACACGCGGCTTACGGGCAGGTGGACTCTCACACGGTGGAGGCCTTGGATCTGCCCACACCGACCTGCTTCCGGTCTCGAAGCCACAGTTACCTGAGGGCCATCCAGGCCGGCTGCTCCCAGGACGACGATACGGACTCCGATGAGACTCCACCTATAACGTCATCCATCAGTAGCTATAACAGCGTCACCAGTGAGTATCGCACGCATGCAAACGCACCTTCAGAGAGGATCACATTCATGGACCTGCTATATACAAAGTTCTGTCATGAAACTCTAGATGGCGCAGGCTGATTGGTCCTTAACTCAATCTGCTTGCAATCACACCATTCTCTATAGGGCACAGCTGATTGGTTCCTGCTGTATCTGTAGCCAATGAGCTCGCAGCTCAGCCCTCAAATACTTGTTCAGCAGTTGCAGTGCGCTTTCAGAAACCCTCCACCTTCCCCAGCTCCACCTGTATAGATCTGCTACTACGGGTAATTCATGTATGCTGTATTGTACAGCAGCAGCATGTCTTACTTGTTTACGGCAGTGTGTCGTGTGTGTATTGGCACTAGCGAGTCCCGTACTTGCAATAACAACAGCAGAAGTGTAGCGGATCTATTCCACCAAGACCAATGTCAAACATGGTCATAATCATTACCATGCCAAACACTCCCGAGTTGTCATGACAGAATATAAACCACCCCAAAATCAAAAGAAAAAAGTGAGAAATTATGTTTTGTGTAAAGAAAAGCAAGCCTGTTTCTGACAGTTATAATTTTTATGAGTATTATTGCTGTAATGCATCCAGATATTTTTTTGTGTGTTTAATTTTCATAATTTTCAATTTGGATTCTCATTTAAGGGCTCTGTAAAAAGGGAAATGTACACCAGCATCATGTTTTTTAATATGTTTTTCACTATTTTATAGTCATTAATCCCAAACTGTATTGTTTTAAGAGAAAAATGTATATCTGAGACATAAAATAAGTGGTGAATTATATACACTGGTTCAAAGGTTTAGGGTTGGTAAGATTTTTTTTAAAGAAATATTTCTGTTTCCACAAAAATATGAACCAGCACAACTGGTTTCAACATTTATCATTATCTTAAATGTTTCTTGAGGAGCAAATCATCATATTATACTGATTTCTGAAGCATCGTGTGACTCTGAAGACTGGAGTAATGATGCTGAAATTTCAGCTTTGATCACAGGAAATAAATGACATTTTACAATATATTCACATAGAAAACAGTTATTTTACATTGTAATAATATTTCACAATATTACTGTATTTCAGATCACATAATGCAGCCTTGGTGAGAAGAAGAGACTCTTTCAAAAACATTACTAAATCTTAGCAATCGCACTTCTGAATGCTAGTGCATGGTGTACTCCTGTGGTTTATGACTGTGGAACTGATTGATTTGGTCTTGTTTAGTGCATTTAAAACATGAAAAACGGATGAAGGCCAGTGAATGAATGATGCATGTGACAATATAATCACTGAACACCTTAAAGTAATGATGCCAACCGCTGCAAAAAAAACTAAATGTGACCTGGTTGTCGACAATCACAGTGATAGCGCTGAATTTGCATGTGCATAAACAGAATCATAAGCTTTGATAATGTGGACAAAGTTCACGACAGGCAATATAAAAACTTCATGATAAGCAGCACAGGCCTCATGGACTTTTCGATTATCATGATGTCATTTTATTGCCTCCAAAGTTGATGTCAGTGCAAACAAACAAGCCCTGTTTTTCTTTCACAGTAATAAAGACCTTAGTGTGAAGTCGGATCGCTTTTCCTTTGAGAGGTCGGCATGTGGGCAAGTCCAGACAGATGATCTGGAATCATGGTGTGAGAGTCAAAACAGCCGTAGACCATGAAGACTGTCTCATGATGGTCCTCTTAAAGAGATAGTTCACGTGAAAAATGAAAATACTGTCGTCATTTATTCATCTCGAAAGGCGTATGCAAGTGCATGCATCATATGAACTTGGTCAGGCTTTTGGACAGATTTGGTCCCAGTTCATGTAGACTACAGGAATCATAATGTTTATTACATCTCAAATGGCCAGTGCCAAGTGTGTAACAGTGAGTTTTCTCTCTCACACACACGCATACACAAGTTTTCTGACCTACATTTGTACTGGTGGTGTCCTGCGGAGATGAATACTTGAGCTTAACGGCTAATGTTTCTCGTCCCATCATGACCGACTCTGGCAAAACTTCCACTGCAAATTAAACCTCATCTTAGGCGGTTTTCAGAGGAATTAACAGACATCAATCAGATTAGTTTGGCACAACGCTTGATAAACCAGCAGCCCGTCTGCTTTTCCACATTTCATTAAAGATGATCTGCTTTATTTTTTATTGCTTTTCACTGTATTTCGATATGTTTTATAATTTAATATGCAAGCCGGACACAGTCCAGATTTATTAAATCAAACAACATTCTCATAATGGTTAAATGTATTATTGACATTCATCTTGAGTCTTGAAAAGTGTACTAACAGTAGAGCTACACTCAGAACACCAAATAATAAAATCAAGTCTATTTTTGGAGAGGAATCTGGCTAATGTAATTTAGTTTAGGTAGCAAGCTGTCAAGAAAAACAAACCTTGGCCGACTTTTTATCTCTTCTACACTTCTGCTGCGTTAAAAAGCCAGTGCTATCATTGTCCAGTCCAGCTATGTTTGGAATAGCATGCTATATTATGCACACATACTGTGCACAGTTGTTGTGAATGTGATTTTTCTATACACAACACCCAGGTGACCTATATATGACACAATGAGCAGCTGGATGGGAAACTGTATCCCACAATGCAATGCACTCGACTTGACGTATCACAAACGCTACGTTCCAAGTTAATGGCTAAACGTATGCTGTGCTGTTGCAGATTAAATATGTGGAGAACATTGAATTTAAATATTTCGTCAGGTTAGATACTAATTATTATTCACTCAAACCCCTTTATCTAAACGTCTCTACTTGACCATCAGACTCACACATCTGCCATGTTTGTAGTATTTTAACACATTTTATTTGTGTTTGTAGTTCTAATCGCATCCACGTCCAATGTGCAATGGGTTGTGGGTAATATTAGCCGTTAAAGTGTGCACCGATCTGCACTAACTGGAAAAAGTAGATCTTTGAAATACTCACTTCAACATACTAGGATTTGGGACACACTAATTCTAATTTCGAATACTATTTAGGATGGATCATATACGAATTGGGACGCAGCAAAAGACTTAATATATAGAAAGATAGTGCACTCATATTACTATGAATGGGAGAAAGTGCAATGCACAATATGGCGGAATAAGTCCCGCCTTCTAAATAAAAGAGCCAATCGCTGATTGGTAAAGTCATCGCATCACTGCAGCCGTCATTAGAAGCTTTTTTTAATGCTATTTGAGCATAAGAAACAACATTTATGGAACAGTTAATGTCAGATTGTATTGCTGATTTGAAATGTTTTATTTAAAGGGTTAGTTCACCCAAAAAATGAAAATGATGTCATTAATGACTCACCCTCATGTCGTCCCAAGCCCTTAAGACCTCCGTTCATCTTCAGAAACACAGTTTAAGATATTTTAGATTTAGTCCGAGAGCTTTCTGTCCCTCCATTGAAAATGTATGTACGGTATACTGTCCTTGTCCAGAAAGGAAATCATCAAAGTAGTCCATGTGACATCAGTGGGTTAGTTAGATTGTTTTGAAGCATCGAAAATACATTTTGGTCCAAAAATAACAAAAACTAGGACTTTATTCAGCATTGTATTGTATTCTGGTTCTGTTGTGGATCCGCGTTCAGTGCCGCTGCTGACGTAAGACGCTGCTGACGTGTGTCTGGTGCGTCCGTGTATTCGGGTTCAAATAAATATGGCTGGGCAAAAAAATGCAAGTCTTCCTCTGTGTGGAAATCCTTAGACATGTTTGCGAAGAGTGTTTTGTTTCCAGCGTGCGTCTCCCTCAGACTGTAAACGAAGCTCAGGCGCACCAGACACACGTCAGCAGCGTCTTACGTCAGCGGCGGCACTGAACGCGGATCCACAACAGAACCAGAATACACACACACACACACACCAGACACACGTCAGCAGCGTTTTACGTCAGCAGCGGCACTGAACGCGGATCCACAACAGAACCGGATTCAATTTTTGGGTGACCAAACCCTTTAAATGTGAGTGTGGCAAGCAGTTTTTGAGATTTCAGGAATTCCCCATTCAAGTAGATAGGAGTTGTTGTTTTTTAATGCCCGAAACAGCTTTCCGGAGGCGTTGCAAATATGGCCGCTGAGTGAACAGACTTTCCTTGAAAGGGACTTTATCATTATCATGAATCGGAAGTAATATCAGCCGTGATTTTTGAACATCTCTTTCAGTCGACCAGATTGCCAAACACAAAATTAGATAGCTTTCTGTATCATAAGCATGGAGCAAACTGTTTCACTTCCCTCTTAAAAATAGTGCGCAGCAGAATATAAGTTAGTCCCTTTAAAAAACAGTCCAACAACAACTCCCACCCACAGCACGTTATTCATTGACCAAATGACCTGGCATAAAGGCACTGAATTCATTATTGTCTTTAAAACTCATAAGACAAAATCACATAATCTCCAGAAAATCACTTCATTTTCTCCTGCTATCTATTAAGATATTATTTAGTCCTATACTATATGTAAATTGATTTAAATGTCTTGCTGTTGCATCAAAAGCAGTTTATAATGACAGAAAGATGAGTTATCTTAAAAAGTTGCCTTTTAAGATGTGAAAACTAGACTGATAAAAAAAAGTTAGTCAGTTTGTGGGTCAGTAAACGACAGAGAAACAACAAACACACTAAAATAACGATAAAGCGGGCATGCGTTTTGTTCTATGTGTTTCAACCAGTAACAAGCCCAAATACACACCTGTATTGAGCAAATAAGGCCAAAAAAGATCAACCCGCGACTGCCTAAATCTAAATTTGGGGAACAAGCCTAATAAGTAGACTTGGCAACTGCTGAGAAGTGAGAACGCGCGCGCAAGCGGGGATTCTGTGTGACGCACTAAAACAGCGATTGTGATTCGACCGCGTCAAGAGCTTACGCACCGCCCCCCGACCAATCACAGCGCAGCGAGTGAACGCCTCGAGCGCGTCTTTCTCCAATCCCGCGACCTGAAAGCGGATTACCGGATCGGTTCTCTT